GCATTGACATACCTCGTCCTACAGTTTTTAACAACCAACAGCAATGAATTTTCATAATCATTAAACATCCATGGCTTATGATGGAAAGTTTACCTCCCACTGTCCTCTTCCAGATGCGCCAATGTCACGTACTGCTCAGAATCCCCCCTCGAACTGGGGCTCAAGCCGCCTTCCTCCCCAGAATTGAACGGCCGATAATCAACACGTCGTCTCCTCCTCCTATACTCCACACAAACACATACCATATGCAACAGACACTGCAACGCATACCCCATTACCCAAACCCGAAGCGGCATACTCGGGTGCTCATTCGTGCTAAGAACCAGAACCCCAGAAGCCACCGCCACGAAAGCAAAGTTCCATAGGATATCGAGAATCACAACAGGCTTCGAGTACGCCCAGTCGCTCTGGCGCTCCTCGAGCTGCTCCGCAGCAGTCTCGCGCACGAGCATGGACGGCTCCCGCATCATCCGACGGCTGCTGGCCCGCCGCAAAAACCGCGCGGCCTCCCTCAGACTCTGGCGCCGGACAGATCGGCGAGAAGCGGCGTTGTTGGGGTCCTCACGCAAGTCGCTATTGGGGGAAGAGAGAAACGGCGTGGTATCAATGATGTCATCGGAGGAGGACCGATGGGTAACTAAAGGGGTTGGGGATGACATATTGGGGGGGGATCTTGAAAAATTATGGAATGTAGTGGAAATGTTTGGATTGGAGAGGGTTCTTATGCCATCAAAATGGGATGGGTGTTGGTCAATTTGAATCTGAAATTGTGGAATTCAGAGGAATTTGATCGTTAGGGTTTGCAGTTGCGTTGGTTTTGGGTTCTGGTTTGGAATATTTGAGAAGAAAGAAAGACGGTGCGAAACTTTGTCATGGTGATGGAGATAAACGTGTTTGTTCTTTTGTCTTTTTCAATTTTCGTTATTTGTTTCAGTTTCTCCGTTTTCGTTCTCGTATGACACTTGTACAATTTTTCTTTTCTTTTTTTTTCGAAAATCACTAGATTCACTACAACAATATGGATAGGTTGTAAAATATAAATAGTAAAATGAGAAGAGACTCCTAATACCAATCATTTATTCAGCTGAATAAAAGAAATTTAATTTTTTTTAAATAAAATTTTAAATTTAAATCTCTTATAAAAAAAATAAATATTAAAAAAATTTTTCTCGTATGAAATTTGATTCTTAATTTATCGAAATGTAATGTAATTAACAGATATAAAAAAATTAATAAAAAAAAACTCTTAATATTAAATTTTATTTTATTATGTAATGTTGTACCGATTAGATTTTATATCAATTTTTTCTAACCATATACCACTCTTATAACTTTTTTTTTTTTGGGGGTTTGTTTAACAAAAAGAAAAAAAAGACAAACTCTCTTTTTCGGTATCAAGAAAAGTTTTTTTTTTTTTTAGCTGGAAGAGTAAGACAAAATTACTAAAATGCTTACAAAATTAAAGTACTTTTTTAGGCTAAATTTTTTTTTTAGACTAATTAATTTGATTTTTTTGGAACTATAAATAGAAAATGATAAATAGTAATGAATGAGAGAATTCTTTGTAACTATCATACGGTTATAAGTATCTACTATTATACTATAGATAATACAAAATTAAAATTTTATAATTAGAAAAATAATTATTAATCATTATA